GGCAACTGAGGGGCGTTTGACAAACTTTTATTCCACTTGCAGTCTCATGAGAAGGGTGAGACAATACTGATGCTCTAATTCACAACATCGCAATCAGAAGCCAAATATTTCCTAATTACAAAACACTACAAGCATTTATTAACTTATCAACTTTGACCGCACTGAAAAATAAATAACAGTTATTTTTCACATGACATGTTTTACCCGTGCTGTCAGGAGGCTGTGCAGCTCCAAGCCCACCCTGCAGCCTGGGGTAATTGTGGCTCACAAAAAACCCCTGGGACCCACCTGAAGATGGGATCAAACCCTGGGACTGCTTCTCCGTATCTCATCTCCAAATAGCGCAGGAGGAAAGCAAAACCCACAGAGTGGATGTATGGCTGAAAAGCAGACACTCGTTAGGTTTGGGCGCAGACAAGGTAACAACACACCCCCTTAATTTTAATTATAAAGGGATGCATTAATCTCATTAATTTCAGCTGTTGAAAAGGTCTGCAGGGGCAAGGAGCTAAATGGATGCATTGCAGATATTCCTGTCTGATATGCAGATTATTTGCAAAAGCCTTGATTTCATACAGCAGCTCTAGCCCAGATAATCCACCTGCACTCCAACAGACATCCCATGGGATGGGAGATCCTCTCATCCTTTTGTAGCAGCAGCATTGGCATGATCAGTTTATTAATAATATCTCTGACTTCTACATGAGCTCCATTTAAGCCCCTGCCCCATTTTTGCAGCATCCAAGCACCACATGAGGCACAAGCCCATGATTGCTTGGAATTTGCCTCCCTTGCCAACATTTTATTGTGACTAATTTAAATTTCAATTTTGACTACAAAATTTTAAAATTTTGACTAAAAATTTAAATTTTGACTACAAAACCCATCCTTTCTTTATGGGGAAGAGTTTACAAGCCCAGTGCAAGCCTCCTGCATCAGTGACAGTCATCCCTGCCCAAACAATCTCCAAGTCCCTCCTTACTGCAAAGACAGGCATGTAGACGTAATTCCATCTCTCAAAAATGATGAAATCGTGGTACATGAGGAAATTCTGGAAGAAAAGGAGATCAGTCAATTAGAAAACTCCTCAGCATGGCATGTCTCAGGGCAGGGTCAGAGAAAGAGGGGCAGGTAGGGATGTTTAGCTTTTCTTCAGGATGGGATAAAGGAGCTTTGATCTGCATTTTTTAATTTGGTTCTCACTGCCTCAGTGGGTTGTGGCTCTCCTGGCTACAGAAATTCAGAGGATTGAAATCAGCCAGGTTAAGCCGACCTTTTCCATCACTGCTTCTCTCTTCCCAGGTCTTTGGCCTTCTCCCAGCTCATTTCCTCTTTCCTGGTTCTCCCATTCCAACACTTTCCCCTCCCATCCCACCCTGCTGCCAAAATACAGCCACTGTAACAGCTCTTAGTGACTAAACAAACCAAAAATACCCCAATCAAACAAAGGATTAATGGGTCAAATCTTGGCCTCTTCTCTCACTCAACAGCCTGGAACTTCTCCTGTTTCCTTTTCCCTCTTTCTCTCCTTTTGACTGGGAATTTGGGAAGTCCTTCTTGCTTTGCCAGTTTTTGCACCATTAGGGTAATTATTGAATTTAGTAGGATGTGTTTTGCTTACTAGTCCACAGAACATGATCCAGCCCACAGGTGGAAACATAGGAATCAGCAGGCAGATGTAGAAAAGCACTTCATGATGGTCACTGTGCATAAAAGCAACATAATTCACCTGGAATAAAACAGAAAAACTATTTACAACATTAATGTATTGTTGCTAAAACCCGGGATATTTGTCAGAGATTCCGGTTATTCTGCTGGATATTGATATAAACTGAAATTGATTTATGTAAATTTGAAATAAAGCCCCAAGTGCAAGGTGTGTAAATCAAACATTTCAGAGTGAAGGTTCTCCTCACTTACCAGAATGAAGGTTAAGGACCAAATGTAACGATTACTTCGCCCCATGTGAAATTTGAAGGCCATTAAATAAACAAAGAGGACAAGAGATATTCCATAACCAAAGATGCAAACAAGCTGCAGAGAGAGAGAGACATCAGTGACCAGGAGGTGCCTGGGAATATATATGAAAACCTGCCCAGAGAAACCCATTGCAAATGAACTCTCTAAAGCCAAACCCTGCAGTGAAACGAGGGCAGGGAGCTGTTCCCATTCACCCACTCGGCCCAGAGCTCACCAGGGTCAGCACAGCACGGATCTCCAAGGGGCAGATGCGGGTGAAGAGCACCAGCAGCCCGAACATGAGGCACATGAGGCTCCAGAAGAAGGGGATGTCCACCAGAGCCTGCCCACACCAGTAGGCTGAGGGGAAGAGCCCCGCCAGCCGCAGCTGGGAGCGAGCCTGGAGCTGCAAAAGTGACAAAAGTGAGAAAAGGGAGAGTCTAAAACATCAACCCTGCTCCTTCTCTATTCCCTTGCTCCTCCCTTTCTCTGCTTTCCAGTACTTCCAATTCTTAGTTCAGCCATTGTTTAAAACCACATCATTCCTAAAAGGAAAAAAATTTAAATCATTCAGATCTCAGAAGCTTTATTGACATCCAAATTATTGTGGGCCCCAGCTGGTTCCCTGGGGTGCAGAGAAGTGCACTTTGGTACTGATCTGCCTGATTTTCTTCTATCATCCTACCTAGAAACCACAGAATCACATAATGGTTTGGGTTGGAAGGGACCTTAAAGATCATCCCTGCCATGGCAGGGACATCCCCACTGTCCCAGGCTGCTCCAAGCCCTCTCCAACCTAGCCTTGGACATTCCAGGGATCCAGGGGCAGCCACAGCTACTCTGGGCATCTGTGCCAGAGCCTCCCCACTGGTGCTCTCCAGATATTTTGCATTGTATTCAATCCTCATGCTCTTTACCTTGTAATCCTCCACGCTGCTCATGGCAAAGAGAGGAGGCAAACCAGCAGCCAAAACCAGCAGGTAGGTGAATAAGCCAAAGAAAATGTAGTGCTTCAGCTCTGGGTTTTCTCCCTGCAGAAACGCAAGATATTAGGAAGGCTGAAGCTTAATAATGGAGCTCTGTGCATTGTGTTTGAAGGCTTACAAGCAGGTATTGTATTAGAAATAAGCAAGCAATGTTTTAACCAAAGGTACGTGTCCTTATAGTGATTGGATAGAACTACTGTCAATGTGCTTTTGCTTTGTGTGATTGGTCAAAAAGCTTATAAAGTGAGTTGTAACATTAAATTCTTGGTCTGCTGCCTGAGATGTGAGCTGGTGGCATCTTCCCATTGTCATAACCAAGTAATGACACCAATGCTGGAAGATAAAACAGCTCAAGGCACGATCCCAGCAGTCTCGTCTCATTTGTGATTTGTAAATAGCCCCCAACCAGCGTCATTAAATGTGGGATCTCAGGACCTCAGTCCTGAGGACAGGAGGACTTCACC